GACCCTGTCGCCATCTGATCGCAGCTTCGTCATTCCGGCTCGAGACACGCTAGTCCACATCTCGCGCTCAATTTTCCAGTTGCGACATCTCTAGCCTATTCGAACCCAGGATTGATATGACAGCCATTAACACTGGCTGACCGTCTCCATACCCATCACACGATGACGCAACGGTTTCTCAAAAACGTGAACGCGACCCGGGAGAGACTGAATACCTGCATGCATGGACAGGACTACGTAAAAAGGTCAACAAAAACGAAAGGTTCGGTTAAGATTTGGGTATGAAAGTGATGACAGAATAGAAGCAATCCTTTTTTTTTATCCATTGACCTTGGCCAAAACCTGCTTCCGTGATTGTCTGTATTGTCAGTATATAAACTCTTCTCTTCTGGTCCAAGCCCTCCTCCCCTATTGTTTCATTATTAAAATGCGCGTGCGGTCGTGGTCCTTTCCATAATTCGAGCTAATGAGATACCGTAATATTCTGCTTTCCTTTGCCAGCCCTGGTTCTTCGTTGGGTTTGTCTGGTACAGCAGAATTTTCAGCGTTGTTTTTCGCTCGATAATGAAATCCCTAGGAATCCTATTCCAAACTATCGAATGAAAAATAACTGGAAAAGAATCAGCCAATCCACACCATCAAAATGATCTTAACTTCGATATATTTCGCTTAACCACTGCAAAAATTGGTCATGCATATGGATATTTTTTACTTTATCGAATGCGTTCTTGAAGTATTTTTAGCGCATCCGTTGGATCCCGACTCGAGGTGTCCAGGCCAAGAAAGGGTAACCAAAACACTCAATCTTCATCCGATATACAAAACACGAACACGTGGCAGTACGATCCGTCTGTGCCAAAAGTGAGTAGCCAACATTTGATTCTTCTTCCGTTCTAAGTCGGGATTGGACGAGCGCCAAGGACGAGTTCATCTTCAAGGGCCTTGACCTTATACGAATTCTCCATCGGAATCGTGACGCTCCACGCCAACGACGAACAATTAAGACATACGCAATACGGCCAGAATTCAACGTGCAACGCGTTTCCACGGAATAAGTGACAGCTCGTTCATGGCTAGGCATATGGATATATACGGGTAGGTTCATGCATATTGATTAGCCAGCCGTCAGGATGGATTCAGTCTCAGACAGCCCGTCCATCATCATGTAAGGACCGCTGACTGTTATGAGGCTCGAGTTGAAGCGTTCAGGAGGACTTCAAAGGAACCGTGCAACCTAAAAGTATGAGAAGCGGAAGATTTTCACGATTCGAGGCGATGGAAAGATGACATTGAATACTTTATTCCATCTTTGCTTTTTTTGCCTTTCTTTCCTCTTTCTCCTTTCTCTCGTTTTCCCCTCTCTCTCTCTCTCTCTCTCTCAAAGGGCACTGAATCGATGCAAATAAATAAATTCATTGATGGATTCATTCATACATTCATGATTACCATCGATCAGATACGCCTGGCTTATCAAACCACTCGTGTATTCATGCCTCCTTATACTTCGCGGTTGGCAACGTCTTCAAAAATTCATCCGAGGGGTTACGTCGTGCAACTGGGCCACCACAGACAAAGAAGTCGAAATCTCCTGAGCCCCAGACCTTGACATTGACGATCTTCAACTTCACCTCCCCTCACAGCCGAGCAAATTCGATAACATTCCCAGCCTGGGAACCATCTTCTCCCCCTCTTCATTCGAAACTGGATCGTGCGGTAAACGAGGTTCAATGCACCCGAGATGCAGGAGCTCGTACTCCCATGCTTCAGATATATATATATATATATATATTTTTTTTTTTTTTACGGTGATATTTCGAATGACTTGCCCCTTCCCATCCCCTTCTGAATGGCAGACGCCACATGTCATGCGACTCGAGCGACAACTAGCTTCTCAAAATAACTCGCCTTGGCATAAGTAATGATCGAGGCGGGAATTAAGTACTTTCGGGGTGATGCAAGCGATCGCTAATTATTGCAAAGGGGCTTGAGACCGACTCGCTTCTCTTCCTGTAGCCATCGTGGAGTCTGGTCACTTTTGCTTCACTTCTGATCTGACCAATATAAGACTTCAAAATGTTTGAAGCGCAAAAGCATGGGAGATCGCTGTGGTTCGTTCGGGGGGGGGGGGGGGGGGCTTTATGTCTCACATAAGGCTTCCAGGCGCATGAAATCATTCTCAGCCGAATTTTCATTAAGAGAGCAACTTGTCGTTGCTGACAGACCCGTGGGTTTTCGGAGAGACCTCCAAGTAGGGCCTAAGGCTAGGCCTAAGGAACGTTTGTCAACTCACGTTTGTCTCCGGGAAGGAGCGAGACCCAGGAAGATGCAGGAATACAGTTTACAATACACACTGAACGCAACCACAGAATCACTCGCTAAAAGTCAGAAACTTTCAAACAGAAACAACTAAATGCCAAAAGTCAATGAACTTCCCAGACGAACAGAAAGCGAGGCGGACGAAACGCAACCGCCAAGAACTCAAAGGTGGCACTAGGCTCCAATCGAGGACGCATTTGGCAATTCCCGTCACACGATGAACTCGGCTCTCCTTTTCTGGGCTTTAATTTTTTTGCAGGAGTCAAGTCGGCAAAAATTATTTATGGGACTAACTTTTTGCTAAATTGCCTGTCTTGATGCAGGAGAGCCTGTGAAAACGAAAAGGTTGTCGAGAGATCTAATGTTTCCTGATTTTCCAATCCACCAGCGCTTGCTCCGAGAGCTGATGGAATTTGATAACTTTTATTTCGGTCACGAGCTGGAGAGACCATAAAGGCAAAATCACTTCACAGTGATTGCATGAATTTCACCTGCATTTCGCACCAGATTTAACATGCCCCATGCTGCGCGGAATGCGTTCGCGATTGTGGTGAGTGAACTCCATCACCTCATTCTCGCCAAGCTTCTTCTTCAAGCGGAAGAAGCACGAACTACCATCATCTTCGAACATCTTCGCGACTACTTCCGGCCCTTTTCCTTCGTGCTTGCATTCAATTAATTCGATGCAAGGCGTGAAACATCCCCATTTCTGCGGTGGCAAATACGGGGGGGAAGAAGTGAAGTGGATTAGACGGGAGGAGGAGCGTCGTCGATAGCACAAGGCCTCGCTTTCATGAAGGCTTTCGTGATTCTTCGGCGTATCTGATCGAGGATTTGTGGGAACGTGACCCCCGTTACGGTCTCGGGCTTCTCTCGGCGACGAATCGATTCGTCTGAACGGTGAAAGGAGTATTTTCGTCCTGTCCGTTCTCCCTTCTTGACTTTTCACGCCTTAAATACGCTGGAAGAGGTAGGAAGCAAATCGAGTGCCTTTTAGAAAGCCCCAACTCAGAACGTCGCAGACTCATCAAAGACCCATTGCATTATTCACCTTCGCATTTGTTTGGTGGGAAATCCGCAGATGAATCACTCCCGTCAGTGTCATCATTTCAATGTCGTCACGATAAAGGTCCTTCCCCAAGGTCACCTTCCAGGCATTTTACTTCCTTTATCTGACGCTTCCGCATAGTCAACCCTTTTTTTGTCATGCCCCCTACATTTCATACGTCGTCAGAATATTTTTCGTCTCATGCAGACGAATGCTCGCTGAAGAACACAGCCGGGTCAAAAAGATCAGACATTTCATCTCTCGCGCTGTCGGCGATGGGTCCCCCATCCACGCGAGAAGAGAGCCTACAAGCTGGCAGTCTCGTATGATCGATGGAGCCGTCTGGTCGGGGGTTACCCAATAGACCGTGTGACGTCATACTGTGATGTTTCAGAGGCAGCTTTTAGCAATGACAATTTCACTTCTTCGGTGTGAGTTGGAAAGATAAATTTGTTGCGGTTAAATCTCTTGGGAGTCCTCTTTTCTCTGGACATAGCCATTCTGAAATTACGAATATATCAGTGGTCTGTTGAGGGTTGCATGCAGTCAGAAGCACCGCTAACGAGAAGCTTCCGTATGAGGCAGCGCTGGACAGAAATATCGTTGCATGGGAAGTCAGAACAGACTTCACCTCGGATCGTACACGAATTGCCATCCGTGAAATTTTGCAATCTCTCAATCAAATCGACATATTCGATCCTAGCTTTGCCACAAATTCATCGATCATCGGTGGTAAATTTTTAGTACCCTCACGGGGCTCATGACTAATGCTGCAAGTTAGCATACTGAATGCCAGCACAGCTGTGTGTTGGGGTTTGAAAGCACTATGCATTGGTTTCAAGTAAAAACGGGCGTGCAATAATAGAAGCTCCGCCAAACATGTTACCACTGAATCAAAAATCCTTGCAGAGAGGAACAAATAACATTTAGAAGGGCTAAAAGCACCCAGAAACAGTATATAAAAGAACCTGTGAGAAATGGTAGGGTCCAGCATGGCATATTTGAAGTGAGATTCATTCAAGGGTCTTGTTAGACAGGTATGACAATGCGAAAGGATGTACTGAGTGAAACTTCTGTGTGGAGAAAATCATCCACCTTCCATCAAATATATGCATGAATCAATATCAACATTTCAGAGGAATTTTTACCTTTTTCAGTCTTGGTTTAATCATTAGAAAGGCATATTACAGGTAAACCTATATTGGCCAGAGAGAATGAAAGTACCAGTTCCTGTTACCAGAGAGGGGTAGTTTCAAAACTTCAATATCAATACAGTTGCCCTATAGCTATCATCAAACAATGCAGTTTCACAGAGATAAATACAATCCAACAAAAACAGTAGGATTCTTGTCAGCACAAGAATGGATTGAACAGCTTGCCCATCATCATAGTTGAAGGATCAAAAAGGGCAGCTGCATCAAGGATGAGACTGGAGGGTGTGCTCAAGAACATCTTACAATTTTATAAACTGGAGCTTCATCAAGCACTCATTCAAAACAGGGAATTTATGCAAGAAACACCTGCAATACTCCATTGTGATTGTTCTCAAGGGACCATAAGGTAAGAAATTCCAGAGTGGTGACCTGTTTCCCAGAGATCAAATCAAGGAGGATCATTTCAAAAATGCAAATAATTTCCCAATGAAGTGTTCCAGTTCATTCAATCTTCCTCATTCTCCCAACAAAATCGCAAAAGAAAAAATTGCAAAATGCTATCTCTCCTGTTTAGTGTGTCCAGCTGTCCATTTTGAATGCAACCATTCCATGTACTTGTTCCAGACAACCTTAATCTCCTTCATTCTTTCAGGGTCATTTTCCTGGGGGGCAATATCATGTCCTTGACTAGCAGTTCAACTTCCTTGGGCATGAATAAAAAGAGGATGTGACCCATTTTCTCATTGCTTTTCTTTCTCTCTATAGCCCAGAAAGAAACCCCGAGACATTTTCATGAAATGTTGTATTACACAGACACAGGAAAGCACTATCAGTTCTCTGTGTCTTCCTGAAATCAAAACCAATGACAAAAGGAGGAATGGTTGAAGTCGATATAGGCATTTTGAGCGGATTTCAGCATCTTTCTGGAGTGGATATTATCCACTGAGTCAATAATGGCTTTGCCAATTGAGATGAAGACTGTCATCACTTATCCTTGAATTCATTCTCTGACACCATCAACACTACAGTACAAGGAACAGCATAAAACACAAGGTAATGTGGATGTACTCACAGGACAAATTTACAATGAGGATGTATTGTATATCTCGACCTACAAAATTAGGGATGAGCCCATCCAGAAAATAAAAATCAAGAAATGACAAAGTCACCTGCATACATCACTTCCTCCATGGAAAAACTTGGATCAAGTCCAATCCATAAAAGATGAAACTTCCTGGAAAATTATAATGCGCTTTGGGTGAGACTGGATGCACACACCATCAAATTATTCGGGAACTCACACTTGATCATGAGATCAGGTTCCATGACCAAAAAAATCACTAAAAATTGAAATGAATATTTGCTACTAAAGAAGCCCTGAATGTCACCAAATTTTGAGCTGCACAGTAACTTAAACACATGAGGGTCCTGCTTAGACCAACAGCTACACTGGTGCATATAAATAGGCCCACTAAACATGTAGCCACACTCATCCATTTGCTGATGCAGAGAAACAAAAAGGCATGGAGTGCTGTTATCTGTTTCCTCTTTGCATCTACACGTGTGAGAGAGAAAGAGGATGGATTATGCAAAGGCTTCCGTATGATGACGATGACCACGATTGATGAGTTCACCTTCCTTGGTGGCAGTGCACAAAGTACACAATCTTCTGCTACACCAGAAGAAATGAATGCGATCAAACTGTGAGCCAAAAGCCATGATGATGAAGAAAATAGACAGCAGAGCAGATGGCGATGAAGAATGACAGAGAGGTTTTGTAGAAATGGGGGAGGGTCATCAAGACTCCCCATTGCCCGAGTCTTCTCCATCATCCCCGGCCCCATAATCAGACCCATCATCGTCGTCGTCGTCATCAAGGTCGTAGTCATCATCATAGAAGTCCGCCAAATCAACACTATCGCTGGCTGGCTTCTCTTTGGGTTTAACACAGTAATCTTCCAGGGTTAATGGGACAACGACACCATCCTTCTCGGCCTCAACCCGAGATACCGTCACCTGTTTCCTGTGAGACCAAATGACATAAGGGTCATTCTAGAGTAATGAACATTATCATTGAAGAAAATGTGAATACTTATTTTGCTTCTCATGTCATTGCCATTTAGTGTTGTTCCAAAGTCCTCCAATTTAGAGGTACAAAGAGAAAACATAAGGAATAATGGTAGTGATGAGGTTGCATGTCTCTCACATCCCATTTAAAAATAAAGCAAGCCAAAATGAGTGTTTACATTTGTGAAGGCTAGTTTATATGAAATAAACAATGCCAAGTAATTACATAGAAATATAACCATTATATCCATTGTCCACATGGTTAGTTTGTGCCTGGCTTCAATATAGCCTAGGATTAATAGGGGAAGAACAGAGACCATCTGTAGCTCACTCTGGAACCTCATAAAGCCTATAGGGTGTGAGAGCAAGGGTGTCTTAATTTATTTTGTTTCTCTGGTCTTCGGTAATATCACCTTACAAATATATAATCTCTACCTAGAAGAAAAAACATTATTATTCCAATAAATGAGACAAATGATTTCCTATATTGCTAACATGAATAAGATATGAACCACTTTTTCAGAGCCTTGATTGAATTCCATGGGGCATGAAGAATTCAATGCCATCACTTAGACTTTTTTATACTGTATCTCATTAACGTAAACGAAGATATACATTGGGTTTTTACCAATGATTCTCCATGCACGCTGAAGCATTTATATATAATTTATCTTCTGCTGTCACTTTCCCCTCAACAAATCCAAAATGGACTTCTTCCAACCTGTAGTCACTTTTTTCTTTAAAGCTGACCAAGAGAACATAAAATGAGACAAAAAAAGCTGACCTGATGATATTCTCATACTCCTTGTCCTTGCCCTTGGAGTCCCTCCACCTCCTGTACATAACGCTTGCATCCACATTGGCAGGACTGAATGTGTTGGGCTCATTCAGCAGGGATATCACGCTCAACAAAATTGTTCTATACAGAATGGAATACAAAAGAATGAATACTGCATTTCACATAGGATGGAAACATTGCAAACACATATGAAACAGAGATTCACAAATGTGAGCCACACCATGTACAGACGGCAGTAAATGCTTTTAAAATGTCATTTTAAGGATAATACGACACATCAATGGTGTTACGAACTGCATTGGATTGGCAGCCAAAGTGGGAAAGAGCCAGAATGAAAAAGAAAGAAAAAATAGAGAGCTTGGAGAAGGTAGATGAGATTATGGGCATCTTGGCAGCCAGCCATACTGGAGAAGGATTGGAACAGGATTGTAAGAAATCAACTTATTTCTTATATTATTCTCCTGTCTACCTGTATTGCTGTCTTGTTCCATCCAAGATCTATACCAAGCCAGAAATCCGTGTCTTAAGCACTTTCCATTCTTCTGTCTCTGCATCACTCCCATTTATCAATTCTAATATTAATGCATCTATCTTTCCAATCCAACCATAACTTCCAAACCATAATTATGACAGCCCCAATTTATTTTAATCTTACTACATAAAATTAGACATTTGTACATGCTCACAAGTATCCCAAAACTCACCTACTCCATTTTCTTTCCTTATTATTATTGTGTCTTTCCTCTTGTTAAGTCTAATAATTATAGCTCTGTGTGTTGTCTTAGTCTCCATTGTCTCTCAGACCATACTTTTCATTTAGTTGTTAATATTCATTTATCTATTCAAGGAAAATAAAGGTTCATTGACTAATTCAAGATGTACTTAAAGCTTCCTGAGAAATGTCAGCTCATTTCATGGCATACAATGCAAAGATTGAGTAATGATTCTGCTACTCTTTTTGTCAAACACTAAGTGATGCTAAAGTGCAGAACATGTGACTGTAACTATTAAAAATCATGAAATTAAATTGCTCACAAAAATTTTTACAAAGACCCTCCACCATCATGGATACAACATTCCCCAGGGCTTAGCATGAGGAAATGGGTTTTTCTTTGAGCTCTTTAAGAATCAATCAACTTTCTTTTCCCTGGAAAGGTGTGAAGGAGGGAAAAATTTAGGAATAGGGCTCTAAATCTGCCATGGCAGTGCTCAAGTCTTCTTGTGCCTCCTATGAAGCAAGGGGAGGAGAGCAAGATGGTGCAGACTAAACCATGAGTAAAAATTCCCATATGAAGGATGGTCCAGATAGAACACTTAGTTACTACACTGTAGTTTCCAATGCAAAAGACTTGCAATGTTTTGGGAAGATACTACAGCTAAATACACTGCAAATTCACTCACCGAACATTTTGAGTGGGATTCCATCTTTCACATGGGAGTTCTCCACTCTGGGGATCATCACCAGGGGGGTGTAAAATAGATATGCACAGGTCTCCATTCTGGAAAGAGGATAAAATGCTCCATGTATCACCATTCGCCTTTCATCACAGTTTATTATGCCGTCACTTTTTCAAGACAGAAAAACATTCCTCACCTCATACACATTGGGGTGCCAGACCTTTGTGAGGAAGCGAACTGTTGGTGGGGAATATGGGTAATCAGGAGGGAATTTCAAATGTGCCTACAAGAAAAAGCAAATGAATACACTAAGATGAAATTAAATGCTTAGAAGCCAAAGAAAGATTGAAAATACAAACTTTGAAGTAGCCACCCTGGTACAGGGTATCTGGAGGCCCAAAGATGGCCACTTCCCATTCAAAGAGGTTCTCTTCCTTGACGAGCTTCACACGGAAACCTTCTACTGGCTCTTCTAGAATTCCTTTGTATTCCAGAGCTAGAGCTCTAAGTGCACTGCTGGTGGGTTGCTGCGCCATCCGTGTGGAGACGCTTAGCACACCTCAAAATATCTTACCACAGCACCTAAACCTATGTAAAGGCAACTGATGACACATGAAGAGAATACATAAGCAAAGAGCTAAACTACATTACAACTTCAACAGTCTACGCATTATCTCAATATGTGTATCCTCAATGCACATTCTCTATGAATCTACAACTTCACAGAACATGAACCTCTGGGTTCATTTATTTAGGCATAGGCCTAGCATTAGGATTTGATCTGGCTTGCCAGGTAAAAAACCCACAAGATTCAATTTGCATAAAATGTTGACAATTTTTCCATGTTGCATGATCATATCAGCAAGAATTTGGAATGTTCCAAAAATCCAAGTGAAAATTTGGTGTAAATCTCAATCCAGGTGCCTGCATTCATATGCATAGCAAATACCAAAAACTGGACAGGTAATTTGAAAATCATCTTTGAATCTTCATACCACAATTCCATGTAAATTTGAGTCCTGCAGCCATTGGTAGCAAACTGCCAGTGTCTTAAAAGTCAATAAGTCTTGGGTCCATAAACCACCATGTTAGTCCTGGCATTGCTACAAGATAAAAAAAAAGAGCCTTCTGTCAAATGCTCATATGATCCCAGTTAAAAATATCTTCCATTCGCCAGCAGGATGATACCATGAAATCTACCTCTATTAGCTGCTTGTCATTCAAGATCATATGATGTCAATGCATTTTTTTGCCACACTCTTGAGCATTAAATAAAGCAACATAATTTACCAAAAGATAGACCCAGGCACAATAAAATTCCAACTAGGTATATACTATGTGCACAACCCTGCAATGACAAAGGCTTCCCTGCTGGAAGCATCTATTTTAATGCTGGCAAATGTGTGCATGCACAGTTGGAATTTTCCTTTTGGCATGGCTCATCAATGGGTATTTTACCTGACATATGTTATCAAGCAGCTGCTCCATGGTCACATTCACATAGTAAGAAGTCTTTGATTCACATCACCTCTGCTAAATAAAAAAAGCTAAGCTCAGCCATCCTAAAAATAATTTTTCCAGTTAAGTTTATAGGTTTTCCTATGAGAGCAAAAGTGTTCCTCAGTTATAAATTACTGGGAAATTTTCTGTAAATTAGCTTTATTCCCTTAGAAATATTCCACTTATTTAAAATCCAATGCAACTCATTTCACCCTTTGCCTGGCATGCTCATAAATTACACAGGCTCAGGAAGAAACCTCACTCTTGCTTTTCATTTTTAACCTAAGATAGGCCTGGGCCAGGGCTACACACTATACTTCGGCCCTATGCCTTACAGGCTTAGGCTAATGTTAGGACTAAAATAGACCTACACCCTTTTTCAATCACCAAAGCTTCCATCTTCAGCCAGGCGAAGGTCTACTGAGCAAGGTCTAGTGAAATGGCAGCTGGGGGGTTCAGCACTTAGGGAGGCTAGCTGATGACTCTTAAAAAATAGCAAATTCATGAATGTACTGATCATTATGGGTGCAACAAAGAAACATGCTTTGGCCATCTTTGTCATTTGATGAGCAGATGTTCCTGAGGCTAGAACCATAAAGCTACTTGAAAATATGTTCTACACAGGCATTTTACATAATCATGTCACAATCATATACAGTCAACTCTCGATATACTGCCACTGTTTGTCTTTGCAGATTTTGGTGCTGTATCAAGGGTGGCACTATATCTAAAAGCACTGCTTTAAAATGGAAAATTTCCAAAATAACTCAAATGTAAAATTGAATTAGCAGAAAAATCCAATTTAATTCATCCATGCTGCCAATGGAGAACAAAAACTTCACGGCTTTGAAAAATGATAGGCAATGTTTTGCTGACTTTTGGCAGCATGCACTTCCTTGTCATGACACACTTCCACTTTTTCCCTCACACTTATAACTGTCCTTTCCCCCATTACTGGATAATGAACACACTTGAAAAATCATCAGAGGGAACTTTGAACTAAAAGAAGCATTTCCATTCTCCAAAAGAAAGAAAAGGAGAGGCAGGATTAAGTCAGAATAAAAGACTTCTTATGCCACCCTCTAATCCCTGGTATCTGCGCCAAAGCTATGTCATCCTTGACAATCTCATTATCAATCAAAAGGAAAGGCTGACATGTCATTTTTTCCCACCATGGTTGTGCAGGGTATGATCATTGTAGCTGGTACGGTATGTTGCTTGGTGCTATATCGGGTATGACTTATGCTGAATAAGGCACATTTTTGCAAGGCAAGGTATTGGCGGATGGTGGCTTGCGAGGATGGCACTATAATGGGGGGAGCGCCAATGATAAGCCTATGGGGAAGATTCATTCTCAGGAAAGAGTTGGGGCTAAGTGATAGTGGCGGTATATTGGGTGGCATTATATCAAGGGTCGACTGTATCAGTAAGACTATTTGGAAACTACCTCATCAGTAGGGATGTAACAATATTATGTGCTAACAATATTGGGCTGATGTTATAGATTTACATAAATATCTAAATCCTTTTCTTCCTCTTTTGTGATGCAATTGGATGCAAGTGTATGATGAGTGTCTGTTCCCACAGTATCAATACAGTGAGCCAGCAGACACATATCAGGGTGTCATGTCACATGCTATGAACCTGAATGTCAGATGAATGTGTATGCCATTTTCCCCCCCTCTCCAAATTTTTTTACTTTTGCTCTTTTTCACATTCAGTTCCAGTTATTTCCATTCCCCATCATATTCATGCACCTGCAGATATGTGGATATCACTTCTTAGTTCACTGATGACTAGCAAAGTCTTAAAAAACAAACTATGCCACCATGTATATTGACAATCCTAATTAAAACTGATATTCTACTCCAATCTTGTGGGAAATATGCCAACTGACATTTAACACCACCCTCAAGGTAAGTGAGATCATATGAATAGGTGTGCTAAGTCTATGTTGCCCTGAACAGCTGTCATAACATAATGGCCATCTTATTAGGTCTAAGAAAATTATGAAAAAGAATGAGGAATCAGATCTCATTTGTACAATTAAACCTACAAGGTACAATGAAAAAGTTATTTCATATGTTGATTGAGAGAAATTGGTTTATGTTATATATCTGCTTATCATACATGCTGCATACCCAATACTTTTCACATTAATCTGGTGATACTTTATAAAAAGAATTTCTAAATCAAACTTCTCTGATTCAGACACAAGTAAAATGGCTTGCCTTAACTTGAAAGGAGGTCTAGGTAAACCAGTCATACAAATGAAAGTGGACAGAGCCATGATTTTGGTATGAAAAAAAATAACTGGGGAGAAAAGATAAAAGTCTTGCTTTCTCAATATTCTCATTCCTTTTGCAAGCTGCATCAAAGTTTCCCCTTGAAAACCAATTATTAAATGTCATAAGGCAGGATATAAAATTGCCTTAATATCTTAAAATGTTAATAACTTTCATTTCTAGCTACTGTAGTGTCACATGCTTTTTCTTGACTCTTATGCCATTATTAACAGGTAATACGAATTCCAATGCTTACATAGCTTTCTGCTTGAAGCCCATGTTAGGATATACCCCAAATGCAGGGACTGATACAAGCAAAATGTAATTCTCGAAGCTGGCTTTCCTTCCTTCCATATACTACAGCATTGCATTTGCTACCGGATACACAAGTTTTTTCATGGGACACAAGCTGCTTTTTGTCTCCTGCCTGTACTCAAGGATTCTCACAAGGAACCAACTGCAGGGGACTGGTTCTCATTTGTTTTTCATTCACTGGGAATGAATTTAATATTTTTATGAGAAATTTTCCTTTAAAAACAAGAGATATTTGATGGATAATGAAGAACCATATGGACAAGTACATATTAAATACTTTTTGAGTCAGGCTCTCAATTGCCCTCTCTGACAAGCTGCCACTAGTCCAACTCTAGAGACATAGTCCTAGGCGGGCTAAAGGTATGGATTAGTTGCAGAAATACCGCAGGCACGGGCCTAAAGTTAAGCTACAACAAAAATATTTATACTAATCTTTCCTCTACCCTTGCCTAGCACACAAATTCTTCTTGGATGTGCATCAGGCTAAAATTAAAGCTATGCGTAGGGTTAGGCCAACGTACACGCTGTGCATGTTCACATTCTGAGTCTGCTACTGTAGGTGCAGAAATTAGGGTCACAAGGCGCATAGATTGTGAAACACGGAAGGGTAGAAAGCAAGGACGCAATGCCAAGGTTGCATGAGCAGGACAATGACAGCGCCATGTCTTCCCTCCTGATGATGAGATCACCGTCCCTTCACCAATCACGATCCAGGATTCTCGCCAGCAGACGACAGAAATTGTGACCAATCACTGCGTTACTTTCTCTTTCTCACCACTGAAGCCTGGAGTTGGGACACGCGGGGACGATTTCCTGGGGTGTTTGTGTTCCGCTATATCCAAAATTGAGTCGAATTGCGGGAAGCTGGCGGACAAAGTGAAAGCTTCTTAGCCCAACAAGGAAGTGGAACTATCTAAGTGCAATGGTCTGGCCTCACAGTCTTCACACACTGCCGAACATGAGTCACATGTTACAGAACAAAAAACATGCCCTCGTGCGGTAAGTTCTCCAAAACAAATTGTTCTGCGAATGAAGCCATGCGAAAAGCAACAACAGCAGCGTTACTAGCAGAAAAAAAGTTTTATGTTCCATTGTGCTCTTATTCGCCCAATAAATACGAAATCCAGCGATGTAGCCAACCACAATGTACTGCTTGTTCTCTTGCGACGTGAAGAATTAAAGAAGCAAAATATGTAGTCGTCGCACCATCAAGCCTATTTTCAAACTAACGCAAGTACATTGCCGTTGGACTCAGCTCTCTCTCGCGAATGGATGTCAAAAGTATGAAATCATGTTGACCTACTTTCATTTCGGTCACCTAATTATTAAAGGCCTACAAATATAAAAAAGGAAAGAAATGCAGGAGTGTGTAGTACTGCTCCCGAAGCCACCCCAAACCTCGATCGACGATGAACCAACCATGCCTTGCTTGAACTTTTCGAGAACCCTCGCAATAATCGCTTCCAAACTCAACGAGACTCGGAAATTCACTATCACTCGGAGCGGAAAAACAAGAATCATGCTTGCATATACCCTTGTACAAGGAGTGCAGGCGAGATAGTGTCACTAGACCTTCGTAGGCTCTTTTGTGAGCTTTCGCTTCGATCCTCTATCGATTCACCTGAAATACTTCACTGTAATAATAGGAATAAAGACTATAAGTACTACAGTTGAGACGGGACTGACGGTCTCGTTGGAATCTGAGGGTAAGAACTCCAGCTATCCCTTACTTTTCAGAGACCAAAAGAGGTAATCGTACGCGTGACCAACCGACTTACCATAAGGGTTAGTGCATCGCGCCCTCGCGGCAACACTGCATGACGATACGACGCAGTCCACAGTGCGGCAGTGACTCAGTCAGGTTCGTTTCGGGGTAGATGTAGAGGGGCGTTGCACCATCCAGAGTGCCAGCGATGAGAAGCCGTGAGTTTTGCACGATCATCGGCTCTGAGAGCGCAGCAGTCTGGCTCCAGCAACACGGTCTTCAAGATCCAACTGATCTCGGTGTACGCGACTGGGATGCCGGGGGGGTGACACGCCCCTTTAATCGTAAGAGGAAGTCGGATGGGATTATCGGATTATCTTGAGCTATCCTGCCTTTGCTGTATGACAGCAGTTAAATGTCGCAGTGTGACTGCATGTGATCGCATGCTTAAGGGGTTTTAATATGACTGTGATATATGATTGTGTGAATGGCTCAAATGATTTGAAAAATCCGTGTAAGTAGCATTTTACAACTTGCGCGCTGCGCTGGTCACACCTCACACCCGAAATATAATGGTCGGGCACCGGCCATTCGCAGGTCACACCTCATCCGATTACCCTGAAAGAACTTAAACCTGCACATACCCTTGAGAATAGACTTTTCACACATGGGCGATGATGTTGCACTCGTTATTGTTTACCCCCCCCCCCCTCCTCCCCTTCCTTTGGAAGGAGGACAGTATGGGATGGCAAGAGATAAGAGATGATGTGCTCCATGCCCTCGATTGTGAGGGAAATCCACCCATGAAACCTGGGAAACTAATAAATCTGCCCTATGAAGTCGAGGGAGCTCGAGTCGATCGTAATCGCTCTGGTAACAGTCCACACCGGGAGAAGTTAAGTGTGATCGAAATGGGGGGGAGAGGGAGGGAGGAAGAGGGAGGAGAAGGAGGGAGGAAGAGGACGGAGGGCCGTGGCGAGTCGCCGTCGATCCGTGATGCAAGCGCGTGCATTCATCACAATGGGACGGTGCCACGTTACATTGGGACGGTGCCACGTTACAATGGGACGGTGCCACCTCGGGGATGGCTGGAGTCCTTTCGTGAAACCGCGGTCGCGCCACCTACGTTCACGACACACGAGTGCTCGAAATGCCGAGCCACTTGAAAGCAAAAACGAGAAATGGGGATCCATAATTCTCAATTCCAGCAAGTGATACACATGGACCCCATTCACATGGGTTAGAAAGGACGGCCGATTTTCCTCAACGGCAAATCGCGAGGAGCAATGAAATCCCCCTCTTCGAGAATGCTTCGGATATTGGCTTCACCTTCGGTCGCCTCCCTTCCGCCTTCGGTAACCCATCGATCAGATGGTGGGAGTCTCGCTACTGTTCAAAGGCTTTCCCAGACTTCCTTATCCATACATTAACGCTCGCATGTAAATTTTCACTTGTAGTTATCCATATGTAAACATCCTTATTCATATGCATGCCGCATCGATCGAACGGCCGAGGCCGACTTAATAACGAACCACCTTCACGAACCCTCTACCGAGCCATTTCATCCCCCACATAAAGAATCCCCTCACGCATATCCCCTCCCCCCCNCCCCCCCCCCCCCCCCCAAAAAAAAAAAAAAATCCACAGCACAACCCCCCTCGTCGACCCCCAGCCATCCACGTGGGTCCGAGTGACTCACTCCCAGCCGACAGACGCCAGAGGCACGGCAGACCCTCGCTATTGCGTGAGCGAATCAAGGCCGCCTTTACGAGGCTTCCGGACCGATACCGGTCCAGAGCCTTGGGCCACAAGGAAATCCCAGTTTAATCTAAATTTCCCAAATGGTAGTTGTGTGCTTCTCATGAGAAATCCTTTAAAGAATTTTAATTACTGAAAGAGCTAAGAACTAATGATAATTTAATGGAATTTAACGAAAATAAACATTTGTCGATTTCAACGCAATCTGCATAAGATTGTCCTCAAGATTCGAAGACGGATTCGGCCAATGCAAAGAAGAATACATCATGTGCAAAAAAATTGGCTGGATTCCCAACCAACCCATCCCCAATCGTCTTCAAATTGGCTCTCCGATTGGCTTTCCCTCCCTCTCTCGCAATATTGGGAAGAGACTTTTCCGACACGAATGAGGGGAAAATACTAGTCGAATTTCGAATTTTAACTTTCACCAGAAAATTTCCAAAAGAAATTCCGATATTAATACAAATATCATTCCAAGAGATAGGAAAATTTTCTGGCCATTTTTTTTGCAAAACGAGGTTTTTGGTAATTTTGGATGGAAATTTTTTAAACGGAACCCCCGATGTTACTTTATTTTTCTTTCGACGTGAAATCGAGACGAATCGCCGTCTAAGCCAGCATAAACGTTCGTTTCACTGCGATTGTCGTTCAGTTCCACATTTATTTTTCCAGACGGACTCTTACCACGATATTGGGCCAGCGCCGGGCCAATATTTGCCCAAAATATTATTTTGCTTGGTTATTCTGTCCAGGGGCCTCCAATCATCGGGTCGACCTTCAAGGGCAAAGGGAAGATCAGACGCGGAAAAAAAAAATTCGCCGATCGAACAGAAGCCAAATCGAGACCATCCCGTCCAAAATGCACTCGGAATTCCAAGAAGCCTTCGGCTTGTCAGACGAGAAAATGAAGTTTCTTTCATCTTCATGGATCACTCTCGATGAAAAAATGGGAGCGGCAGATTCGAAGCCGACCCTGAAGAAGGAGGTCTTTTTTCCTCACTTGACATTTCCCGAAAATGCCCGGAGCGGAGAATCGCGTGCAAGAGGATGCAGCAGAGCGGGAACGCCGCGAGAGAGAATTCCCATTCCCCCCTCCAGTGCAGCATCAGCCGGGAGGACTGCCGTTTCCCTCCCCGTTCGAGCGTGGATCCGACCCCGACGGACTCGAGTTTCTCGGCGCTCTCGCCCGAAGTCCCTCGTCCGAACATGGTGGCCGAGAACCCCGGCTTCGAGATGGAAGAAGTGAGTCCACTTTCGCCTTCCTCGACTCGTTCCCAATCGATCCCCGCCCCCCTCGAGCCGCGTCTTCCGGTGGATTCGGCGTTCCGCCCCCCCTCCCCCCCCAAAAACGACCCCTCGCGACCTGCCCCCCGGGGCATCACGATCTCGAATCGGCTCGTGATCTTCGCCAGCGTGCGAATCATACAAAAACGGCTTCGACCTCGGAAGGGCAAGACGTATCACCCCCCCTGACGACCCCCATTTATCCTCCCCGCCAGGCAGAACCAGAGACGACGGACCCCCGGATCCGGATCCCCTTCGACGATGACCCTCCGGACGAACCGGACAAACGACGAGAAAAGGACCCGAACCAGAATGAGGCATCCCGGTCTGACGACCTCATCTACGGCCTCGACGAAACCCCACCCTGGCATATTTGCTTCCTCCTGGGAATGCAGGTGAGCCTCCCCCCTTGCCCCCCTCCCCCCCCTCCCCCCCCCCTGCGGACGATTTCCTCCCTCCAGGCCAAACGGACGTGTGAACTCCATCGCTGTGACCTGGAATGCGGACGAACCACGGCCCTGTTTGTGTCATTCTGAAAAATATTCTAGTCATAATTTTCGGTGACAGCTCTCGCTCGTACGTTACAGAGCCTGTAGCAACTGGAAAACCAGGTCCGAGCGGACATACCCCACGTCACAGTGATGGGGGATTAAATCCAGTCACCTTCCTCGTTTCCCTTTTTCGTGTTTCCGTTTAGAGATTTGATAGATTCTCACAAAGAAACTTGGGCTCGATCCTGCCGGGGGACGAAGCTGCGAGGGTTACTAGACTCTTTTGGTCCATGATTGGGGATTTGGAAATACTAGTCAGTAGCCCGTGCAAAAGCACGGAAGAATTTAAAGGCAATGAATGCGAGCATGGCTTTAGGGGGTGGGGGAGGGAACGGTCGCCAACCCCCCCCCCCCCCCCCCTCCCCTCTCGCCCAATGGAACCGCCGCTGGCTGGCCATGTAAGAAGACAGGACGCGGCAAAAAAAAATTCTCGAAGGTCTTCCCTTGCGCTTCGTTAATCGTGATGGTAAAGGACGGAGAACTGACGCCGAGAAAGGACGAGGGACAGCTCTAAGATGAAGACTTTAAACGTTGAATCGTCGCTTTGTCGGACAAACGCGGTACGCGGACTTTCATGGGCTCCCTCACGCTTCTCTGCGGACTACGCACTCCGCCGCGTACGTTTCCGAACTTCAATGGCCTTCGACCACGCTGCGTCAAATTATTACTACGGCCACGGGAGAGCACACGCGGTCGCGCTGTGCGCACGCGTGTGTCATGTGTGCACATGTGCGCGCGCGCATGGCACCGACCACCACCACGGACCACAGTCGATTGTATCGCATAGAAGATACACTACTCTTCTGTTATCCTCTACCGTCCGCCGGAATGCTTTTCGATATGCGAACGTGTGGCAAAAAGCGGAACCCACGAGTTTCAAACTTGCATAGGAAAACACGCGGAAACTTCCAAGACCTCGGCGGTGGCATCGTTAAACACAAGCCACGTCACGTGATACCGAGTAGGTAACCAGGAGGATTGAAAGGGGGAAAAGGGGGGGGGGGGGGGGGGGGGGGGGGGG